ACATTATTACAAACTATTATTTTATTTTTAAGAAATGACAGTTTCATGACTCAAGCTTAATTTTTTGTATATTTCTTTTTCAAAGCAAGCTATTAGTCAATATATAGCTTTACTTCATTTATATATTTGAGTTTTCTAACTTAAAATAGATACAAAGCTAATTAAAATCTCATTCTTTCCAATAACTTTTGAGTACGACATATTTACACTAAAGAAAACCGTTTAAAAATAGTATAACTTAGAAAACTAATTATCTACATATGCATACAATTAGAATGCTTATTTTTATTATTAATCTATACTATATACAGAGTGTTATAATCTTCCAGAGGTAAGTACACAAAATGTACTTAATGTTCACATTGTTTATAACAGTTTACCTGTTTACTTAATAACCGAACATTCTGAATAAATTATAATAATCTATCATTTTTATTTAACATGTTTAATCATTTTTAACGTGTTTTTTTTAATTAATTTTATTATATATTTTTTTGCTTTCTTAAGCAAACCTCTAGTTAGCAGTGTCTCAAAAGTGTTTGAGAGAGCATAATCTTACTATAAAAATTTATAATGTTTTTAATAATAATATAAATTTCAAGTTTTTACACGATGAGCATTATTCAAGTGCCATAATAAATGGTCCCCACAAAATATTATGACTACCAAATAAATTTATTTTTATTTTGTCATAGAATTCCAATTTTTTTCATTTAAACTGTATAAAAATAATTTCCAACGAACAATACAAATTATGAGGGTGAAATGAAAAATGAAATATAGAATGGATGAAAAGCTACTCGTTACATGCGTTTTAATCAAAAACATAATTCATGTGGTTTTAAAAGTGTTGTCAGCTACGTTAAAACTGGCACCAATAGTCCTACGGCGGCAAATTCCATCCATACCCACAACGATAAGTTGTCAGTCTACAATGAGATTGATTAATAGTTGACTGTGAAACGTACCGCTCTTCCCTTATCAACAACTAGACCACTCTGCTCCTGCTACCTTCATGATTTGACCTTTTTTTGCACATCTATTACACGTCCATAAATCTACTCTCTCAGCCTGTCGTTTATTCTGCGCTTATGAATACAATGTATAGTAAATCCCTCTTTACCTTTTTTATTTGACCATAGTCTTTTTCAACATAAATCAATACCAAGAATAGTTTTTATTTTCCAAAATGTTTGAAAAATCAATTTTTCAATAATTCTATGAAGATACATATAAAATCTTACTGTTGTCAATGTAAATAACAGTTTTTACACGACTTGAATCAAAAATAAATATTTGCAAAATTTGTCTGAATAAGGAAATATCTAAATTAAAAAATAATATTATTGTTTCCGAAAATTCTATAATAATAAAAAATGTAGTAAATTTCATTAATATAATTAAATTGCTGTGGAGCATATTAATGAAATATATAGTATTTATTTGTAATAACTTCTTCAAATAAGGTAACTGGTTTGGTTACTTAATACCCTTAATAAGTGAACACAATTGGCATTACTTGAAATTGTAACTATTAACCATCAAAGTTGAGTAATTATGTTAATTTGTGTTGAATGACATAGATAACATAACTTAAAACACTTGTGTATGTCGACATTTAAATATGCTATTTGCTTATGATTCCATAATTAGACGAGTTATCTTATGTTAGAGACTTAAAATTGTTTTCTTAATAATTTTGAGGGAAAAAAAGTAATTCAATTGATTTACAGATAAAAATGTACAATTAACAAAACTTTTATTTATAAAATACTTGTTACTAGAGCACGGAATTATAAATTTTGTTAAAGCCACTTTGATGAATCCCATTTGTGAAACTTTGTCGTAGGACTATATAGTAGCATAGGAAATAATATTCGATTTAGAGGGGATCAACCCCTCTAAAAAATCCAATTCTATAACCTCAATAATAACATATCACTAAATACTAATTTATAAATAATTGTATTGGCTAATGGTGTGTTGTGTATAACATAATAAAAATTACAAATACATATAAATCCACATCCTATTCATTAACTAAGGCACATAGTTAAATATTAATTAAACTAAGTAGTGGGTAATTATTATTCACTATTACTACATTAATAAGTATACGCGAATTCTAAGTGAAATTGGTTTACAATTTATATACACGCGAAATGCAAATGTTCCTAAATTGAGTTTATGAATTATTCATAAAATATTACTAGTACTAGTTATTTAATTTTATTCTAGTGTCGCAATTTTATTACTAATTCAACAGATTATCAAAAAAATATATAAATTTTATTTACTTAAATCAAGTTAAGTTCATAACATAAATGAATTTAATCCAATCAAATTATAATTTAAAATAATTGGTGATGTAAAAATATATTTTAAATAAAACAACACAAATTTGGGCTTCTCGTTTTTTCAAATGTCTATTCATTTTGAAAGTGGCTCCTTTAATAAAAGTATTTTTTTCTTTTACGTAGAATAACACTGTTAAAAATTAAAAACTAATATAAGTTTCTAATCATAATTTTATTTAATAATTTTATCATGTTTGAGTATGATTAAAGATTTCATTACTCATTTGAAATTAAATGTTCCCATAATAAATATGGTAAATAGAACGTCTAGACATGTAAACTTCTTAAATTCGTCTAATACTCAGAATCATTAATTTATCAAAATAATGTTACTAACCGACGAACTAATTATTGAGACATAATATTTTTTAATATCAAAAGTCAATTTAAGACACTATTATTCAGGCATTACAATATCAGTATTATTAATGTGTACAAGTCATAATTTTATAATCATAAAAAAAAATTAAAAAATAAACATTTAATATAATTTAATAATTGTTATATTATTTATATTTAACGGTGACTCATATTATGCAACATGAACGAAAAAAAAAACCAGAATTATAGAATTTAAAGGATTTATTATTAATTTTATAACTATGTAATATTAATTAATTTACAAGTGCAATTCAGATAATGTAAATATTGTCAATTATGGAGAAATATAGTTCAAGCACCTATCTACGTGACAATCGTCACTTTTCAATGAAATTTATTTAAATAATTATTGTCTGACACATTTAATAAAGAATCAAACATATTTCTAATAGTTAAATATTTCGATGTTGATTTCTGCACTCGTATTACCTGAAAAGACATTCTGGAAAATAAATACTTTTTCATTAGCTCTGAAAATTCGAGACAAATCTTTGTGTATTTATTATTTATAAAATGCATTTAATGAAATTTAATGTTAAAGATTAAAAATAATAATTACATACTCTCCAAACAATAATGTGTCTATGTCAATAAAAAAGATTTTCATTAAGTTATTGAAAGAAAATTAAAAATTTTATAACATATTTTATTTATTGGGTCCAAAGTTGAAATAATATTAAATTTATACACAATTTTTCTATATATTTATTTCTTTGAATTTTACAAAATATTTAAATACATATATTTTTTAACGGTACGTGTTTAAGTAAAAATTTTAATTCTCCATAATTATGAAAATTTTAGATTATAGAATAACATTTTAAATTTTTTTTTGTAAAAAATCAAGTTAGTTTTTAAAATCGATTTATTAAAAAATGTTCAATGTCCATTTTTGTTATTCTAAAATAAAGTTTCTCGTCGAAGCACTTTCAACATTATGAAAAATATTAGAGTTGATATAATATTGATTTTTTGAAAGTACACGGCAATAATACATTTTTGAGTGATATATTTCGGTCACTTTGTAGCAGCAGCTTTAAACCTTGTCATAATTATTGCACTAAATCTCTAAAACCTGGACACGTTTTGTCTCTTCAAAAAGTTATGGTTAGACGCTTAGTAATTGCCGAACTTTTGCAAGCACATTAACGTGGCATAATAAACAAAGGAAACGGTACAAGCGGATTTTAGTTGTTCCGTAACACATACGTTAACACACAACAGCTTAACGAGTTTTGCGGATTGATTTGGTTTTAGCACGTGACAAGCGCGTTTTTATTTTTACCTAAATGTGAACCATTTAGCTATCGTCATGTGCAGACGAATTTTAAAACTTGACTACAATTGGAAATTTTAATATCATTCAAACAGCTTGGAAGCTATGAAAAAAATTAAAATTAATTTGTATAAGAGAATCAGATTATTAAAATGATATTTTTTTTTTGTCTTACATCGGATTATGCACCGCAAGCATCGCTAAAGTTTATTAGTCAAATAGTAATGTTTCGTCCGTAATTGTTGAAACGAGCAAAAACTAGAGAACTCTTCTCTAAAATTTCTGAGATTTTTTTTTAAGTTTCACTAAGTTACTCTTCCGCGGAACTAATTACAAATAATGATGATAATCTTTGAGCGTTTCAAGATCCTTGACTGTAAAACGAGAAAAAACAATCGCTGCTATTTTTTTTTGTTAACATTCGTTAAATTTTACATTATAATGATTTTAAAAAGCTTTCTACGGTCTGAGTTCTTAAAAAAAGGAAACCTTATAAATACATAGGTATTTTGTTCTGCGCGTTTTTCTAAAGAATTTCCATTTGAAATTTATCGTACAGTTTGAATGTGTAGTATATCTATTTTCTGATAATTATAATGACGTTTGGCCTTCTTCAATTCTAAAAGCAGTCGAAAACATGCACGAACTTTAATAATGGAGATGACATCGAGCAAAAACCGTCAGCAGTAAGCCAACTCCAATCCAGGTTGACAGCAAGAAACCAATTAAAACTACCGGTCCATAGAGTGAATTTTATTACGCTAACAGCACTCAATCTCTCCCTACACTACTGGACCCATATTGCGTGTGTGCATACACACATATTATTAAAAAAATATATCATAACAAGAGGAATATTAATTGAATTTTGTCGTAAAAAATGTTTTATCTATTCAGGTTTCTGAGCAAAATAATAACAGTGCAAACAAAATCCGATATAAATAACAATAGCAACAAAATAAAATTCATTATTTCTAGTAAAACCATCACACAGACATTTCGTTTGTTATTTAACTAAAATTTGCAGCGACTATGAAGAATAACGACGAGGAGAATTTAAAAGATGACGCAATCAAAATTCTTAACGAAGATTCGGCTGTAAAAAGTAACAACAAAAGTAGTGAACTCGATAATGATCCACATTCATTTCAACGACAAAATTTCCACAAACTTGAAGACAGCATATTTTTACATAACAAAAAATTATTTTCCAGGTATTAACTTAATTCTCTTTAAAACTCCGAGCTACTATATTTATTCATAAAATGTCTCAGGCGTAGTGCCCAACATTACAATAATTCTTCTCGTTCAAATCGCTTTAATTTAAAATATTTAAAATTAAATATTAAGTGATTATATTCAATACTATTCGATCATCGAGTAAAACGATAATGCAAATTGGTGACCAATGACTGAATATTAAAAAAATTATTATTTACGGTCAATATTCTATAAATATATGAGCACATTATTTTTTCTTTCCGAGTCTTTAAAATTAAAAAATAAAACTATTCAAAAAGTTTTTAAAGTCCAAATGTGTATTCAAAACACAGCAAAAAAATTCAATTGAAAATTTCAAGTTGGAACATTCCTTAATGGAGTATATTTTAATTATTAAAAGTTACGACTAACGTATCAAACTGAAGTAACGTAATTTAAGATTGTAATTACAATTATTTTCTTGGAACATTGTAGTATCACATTACTCGAACCGTCAAAGTAAAATCTTCTGAAAACATTAAGTGCGGTACCTCGAAGCTTTACTAATTTGATTAAAGCTGTCCAAGTGTAACGTGTAAAGAGCGAGATCATTATGCGCTCACGGCATACAAAGTGTAATATACAGTGTAAAGTACTTTACTTAGGTTAAATGAAAATAAATAAATAATGAAAAAACAGATTTTAAGTTAAAATCGTACTTTTCCGTTATGATTAAAAACAGTTCAATCCAAACGTGTAATTCTGCCAATATCAATACAAAAACACTTATCAATTAACACGAATGAGTATTTTCCCAACAGACTTTGTTTTTTTATTCTTAAAAGTTAGTTGGAAACTAATTCCAACTCTTAGGGTATAAATAATCGGTGTGACATTAAAATACGACAGTCTTCCGTAAACTAATTGTATTAGGTCGAATCTCACAAAACCTTCGTAAGGAGATACTTGTCTATTAGTTTAAAACAATTTTGATAAAACCTATTCTTCTCGTAGGCGACAAATAGAACGCTATTGGCTTGACTTAATCAACACTGAGCGTTTTCAAAATTATGATAAATCAATTACGGGAGATTTCCTATCATATTGGAAGTATGTGCAGCCCAGTTTCGGCCGATCAGTATCAGAGCCTCATTTACAAACAATACAAATTCAAGGCACCGATACGCTCAGAAAATGGAGCAATAGCTTTCACGAATTGTGTAACTTACCAGCAGGAAAAAAATTTTACACCAATTCCATCACAAAGTTTACACCTAAAATCACCACTTGGTTGTACTTGACAAAACAACATTGCTATGATCTTAACTTCGCCGTAACTTACGAAGATCTTAAACTAATATTCGGTAATGACATTTCGTGGTATGAAAACCAAAATATTCTATCATATATTTACAATATTCATATAATATGAAAATCAAGATGTTCTCACTCATATACGCTGCATATAGTAGAACCTTTTGGTTTTTATGACTTGATTAAAAAAATACATTCATATACAAAAATAAAAAATAGTCATAATTTATAGATGAAGCTTTTGGATGTATTATGAAATCGTCAGATGAAAAGGAAATTATGTTTAAACTATTCGTTGACCTAAAGATGTATTGTAACAATGAATACATGACTAATGCACAAATGTCATCTTTAATTGGCAATTATTTTTTTACTCATTCCTTTGCTTTATCTTTAAAGGAATTGAATTTTAAAGAAGTTTATACATTTTTCGAAGAACTCATGATTCGTCATTCAGTACTGGTAATCACCTCAAAAAGACAAACATTATATTAAATTTTATGTTTTTATTAGTTTATTATTGTTATTGTTTATTTATGTCTATAATCAATATAACATTTTGTTACAGGCACCTCCGGATCATATAAATTTATTTTCACTTGATGAATCTAATAAGATTCTTACTCAATTCATTAATAAATACTTAAACTGTTTGCCACTTATACGGTATATTTGTGGAAAAACGATTATATTGAACAATAAATCAAATGGTTCCATTAAATCTACAAATTAGGATTTCATGTTCAATAGTATTTATAGTAAATTTAACTCAAATAAGTAGTACTACTTTAATGTGGCGATATGATTTCGATGATTTTAGAAAATTTGCAGTTAAGTATTCAACAATTCATTTATACTATGTTAATAAAAAAATATATTTATTACACGGAAACTTACTACAATTGAATTTCCTGTTATTTTTTTAAACAATTATACAAAACATTATTACACAAAATATTAAACTATCATAAAACCTTCTGTTTTCACAAATAAAAAGGCTATTTAACGATATACTAGATTACTTTGAGTTCTAAATATATACAACTGCTGTTGAAAGATTAAAATGAACAAATTTATCTCAACTATTTTATTTATTATAATAAATAAAATGTCAAATAAATAATTACCTAAGTAAATTTTATAACCATAAAATATAGAATAAAAAGGACTCGAATTTTAAAAATAATTTTTTTTTTCATTAAAGAAACGCGGGGGGAAAAAATTCATTGTATTATTCATGTTGGCTGCTAAAATTTATTTAAATGATTAAATTTCTAATCATATAATATTTTTAATACTTAATGAATGAGCAAAAACTCAGTTTAGATAGAAATTGATATTATACCATTTTTGACAGATTTTAGAGCCTTAGTTTTGATTACCGTAATTTTTCATAGCAGTTATAAAAAATGTGCTTCATAAAAATTTAAAATTTTAGATAATAAACAAGTATGTCATTTAAAACAGATATGTAGTAAATATTTCAAACTCTGATTAAATGTTAAATATTATTCCAAAATGAAATTCGGTGTAGCAAAGTCATTAATGAATGTATATCACCAAGAAAATTAATTTTAAATACAGCATAATTTATTTTACAAAATGTCGGCAAATCGTTTTCACAAAAATTAATTCCGTAAATTTTAGGTTTGCCCAAACGCGCTATGTAATTTGTTGTTTGAATTATAATAATTACAAGAAAACTTGCTATTATTCAAAGAAAATACACACTTAAGTTCCCTATCAACTTGATGTACTTTATCACAATATTATTTTAATCTATTATCAAATAAATTTTTAAGTCTTTAGACTGAATGATTTAAGCAGATTTTAAATTTTACAATTGTATAATTCTTTAAACTATAACTAAAAAAATCTATTGAACAAAATAACTGAGTCACATGATTAATTAAAATTTATTTTTATCAGAAATAAGATAATAAAAGTTAATGTACAAGTATGTAAGCTTATGTCTTACTATAGTACATACTTAAGATAGTCACCAAACAAAAACAATGTAAAGAGCAGCAAAGAGTTATCTTACTTATGCTAACGTTTTCTTCTATGTTAATCCCAATGTTCTTAGGTTATTTATCATTTGATAAATTACATTGGGTGTAAATTTTACACATCATACAAGTATATTTAAAAAATGGAAGAACACATATTCTTACTACTAAGATTATAATTATAATCATGTTCGAAATCTTCTGGTAAGCTACGCTAAGATAAATACTACAAGTTTTCAAAAATTAATTTTATTTTAATTAAAATTGTTGAAATACAATTTGGTTTATTTTATGGGCACCTAATTTGTATATTGTATATTATACATAACGCAATATTTAGAGTTTAATATTATATAATTAGTGTTATAACTTTATAATATTAATATGATTAATTTAATTTTGCTAAACCAATTGAAAATTTTATATTAATAAAAAATGGATTATTAAATTATCTTTGTATAAATTAAGTTTTACCATTACTGAAAATTAACAGTAATACACTTTTGTAAATTTTATAAAAATTATAATAATAATAACGTGTAATATCGATCACTCTAAAAGACATTATTAAAATTTACGACGTTCAAATTAAATGTTTTAATTTTAAATTGTTTACTTGATTCATAGCATTAAACGTTATAGTATTTGTAATCTATCCACTTTTAGTTTTGATGGGAAGCTAAGAAGGTACTAATTGTATCATATTGTGTATTTTTTTGTGTCTGTCTACACTTTTTTCGCCGTCAACTGGATAGATTTCACTTAAAAATAATCAAAAGCTCACAAATTATATCTAGTTGAACCTATCAATGTTATAATTTGAAAAAAATTTCCTAGCTATGACTTATGAACAGGAAGCATGCGTGGACAGTGGACACTTTAAATGATACTAATCTCTGAAGTTAAACTTCACCTGCCACTGTCAGTTGTCAGATGAGTTACTACACGTCAATATTAACGACGGCAAACTGATGGAAAACATGAAACCTTATACTTAATAATTCTCCAGGTTACACTTGTTCAATATTTAAAAGTAACTAACGTATTCCAACCTAATGGCTAAAAAAAATTCATTAATTAGATTCGAAGCATTTATAAAGTATTTTTTTTTTCACCTAGAGTACATCAATGATAAATAGTTATCCATTTTTTGTTTTTTTAATCGTTATCAATGTACATTTAATAGGATTTTAATTTTGGAAAGACCTATGGGAATCATACCCTATAACAAAAAAAATTTCCAGTGGTACTGTATTCATGAGGTTATGTGACTCAAAAGTGATCTAATCAAACTTTATAATTGCATTAAGGCATTGTCCTAAACAATGCCATGCTAAATTTCATTGGCGTCCTAGATTAATAATATATTTGATGCCTCTATTTAGTATATTTTTATATAAAATTTATCTTATAAATAAATTCTTTTTATATTTTTTTGTCACTTGTATCCATTTCCTCTTCTCCATAGCACAGTTCTAATCCACAACTCTACTTATAAACATTAAATTGTAAAAGTATAGACCCCATTTGTTTCATAAAATGTAATGTAGTTATAATTTAGTATTGTTAAAATATGGTGAACTATCTAATATGTATATGTTATTGCATTTTAGGTAAATAAAAACCCAGCACAGAGGGGTCACGGTACAGTGATGACGTGGCATAGTTAGGTCAAGTATAATGATATCTGACAGTGATTAAAATCACTATCATAAAAAACGCTTCGATGCAAATCTTTAGATTGTGTTTAATTTAAAAAAATTGGTGGATTATTACAAAAGCTACATGATCTGCTATTTCCTTATTTATATCCTGATTAAGATAAAGTATGCCGAATAAAAGAGGGATATAAATATTATTTCTCATAAAAAAATTGTATTGATCCATACACTTTTCAATAAGTTCAAACATTATAAAGTTAAAAATATAAAATACAGAATTTTCACACAAAAATAGAGAATTCGGTAACTATTTTTACCGTGAAGACAAAATAAACTCCGAATTTTTTTTTTCTATAATAAAATATATTACATTAATTTATTTATTACAATATATTACCTTTAATTTATGATATATATAAAAGTGTTAGACTTTCCGGAACACTTTCAATAGTTATATTTTTGTGAAAAAGTTGTCATTTTAAATCACCCCTGTAGGCAGATAAAGGGTCAGATTTATAAAAAAATATACCAAATGAAAGGTAAAGACATCATACATCTATAAATAAAAATTATATTGATTTGGTTATTTTTAAAAAAGTTATGGCAGTTATAAGTAAAAAAAATTGAAAAAGTGTCAAAAATTAGCGATTTTTAAATTAGCAATTTTTCTGGAGATTTCCCCCATTTACGGGGAAAGAGGAAAAATTTTCAATTTTCGAAGTTAATGTCTTCGACTAGATACGATTTGTGATCTTTTGACGTATCGTTGAAAGAAATCGGTTCGGTGAGAGCTGAGGAAAGGTGTTAATAGACACAAAAAAAAAATAATAATAAATAAACGCATCATGGTAAAATTGATACCTTCTCAGCTTCGCATCGAAGCTAAAAACAAATTCTATTGTTTAATTAATAAAATACTGGTATCATTTTTAGCTTCGATGCAAAGCTGAGAAGGAATTATTTTTTCAACTTTTTGTACTTAAAACTTAAAACCAAATTAACATAATTTTTTTTTTCATACATACATTATGTATTTACTTATCATTTGGTATATTTTTCTTATAAACTGACCCTTAACCTGCCCACAAGGGGGGGATTTAAAATGACAACTGTTTCACAAAAAATTTTAAAAAACTTAACTTTTGAAAGTGTTTCGGAAAGTTTGCCACTTTTTTATGTATTTAAAATTAAACATAATGTAATATACTTTATTTAGGAAAAAAAAATTTTGGACTTTATTTTATCTTCACGGTGAAAATAGTTAATAAATGCTATTTTTGTGTGAAAATTCTCGATTTTATATTTAAAATTTTTAACTTTATAATGTTTGAACTAATTGAAAAGTGTATGGATAAATACAATTTTTTATGAGAAATAATATTTATATCCTGCTTTCATTCGACATACTTTTTTTTTAATAAACACCACCATTTCCCTTTATATATTTATATATTATAAACAGTGGTGTACACAGAAATTAAATTTGGGGGAGGGTTTTGAAATTTAAAGAAAATTAGATGTGACACTGCCCATATTATTCGATCACAAAAATTTCTGTTTTCAATTACTTTATTGTGGAAATATTTATAGTATGATATGATCTTTTTTCTTGTTATTACTTCTTGTTTATAGTCCAAAATTATCGCTATGCTTATAAATTTTGGGGGGTTTCAACCCCCAACCCCTCCACTCCTTGCGTACGCCAGTGATTATATATATATATATATATATATATATTTATTCATATAATACACTTAAAAATCACAAAACTTGTAATCAGGATATAAATATGGAAATAGGAGATCATGCAGCTTTTAGAATAATCCACCAATTTTTTAAAATTAAACACTTTCTACAGATTAGAATCGAAGCGTTTTTTATGATAATAATCACAGTCAGATATCATTATACTTGACCCAATTATGTCACATCCCCACTGTGCCGTGACCCCACTGTGCTGGGTTTTTTTATTACGTCTAAAAGAAATATGAACATTATTACATTAATTATTATTATGTAATTGTATTGAGAGTAGTCAAATTTCTAAAACTCACTAATAATAGTTACGCAAATACACCTATTATTTGGTTTACTAAATTTATCTTCCTACCTCTACATTATTATTTAAAATTCTCAACGACTTCATCGACACAATTTAGTTTTGATGAAATTTAAACCATTCTACAATAGTACAGTGCATTGTCAT